ATTCAAACCACTCGATTTTTGACCAGCTACTTGGGCGAATTGTTGACGCCTTAAATCCTCACCAGTGGTTGATGTGAGTGGTGTACAACTACTTATCTCAGTTAGTCAATAGTATATATTTTTACGCATTTATGTTTGCTTTTTTGACTACCATTTATGATATCAAGCAGATCATGTAGTGTAATCGGAATAATTTCACTTCCCCAAGGAAACTGTGGTGACATTTCACCACCTTGAATCGTGTAAGCTGCAAATTGAGGATTTGATTTGCGACTCATAAAAATACTCTGTGGTGTTGAAGCAACTGTCGAATTGGTTCACAGTCGACACTGCCAATGGTCTTTGCAAAGCCCAAGAAATTGACCTCGCTGGGCATGGTGCATGTAACCCTATCTCATAGAAAAAGAATCCTATCACTATTGGGAATTCAAAGCGCAGAAAAATAAACAGATCATATGTCTTATTAATCGAAAGTAATCTAGTGATGAACTATTTAATATATATATATATATGCGTTTAATTAACATATACTAGTGATCTTAAAGGAGTATACTGAGCAGTTTTATGCTGATTAGAGAGATTATACTCCACAAGTTATTTGTCCTAATTGGTCACATCTTTTGGTAAATTCTATAAATTATAGAATATATATATATATATATAATTATAAAAGGGGTCATTATGTCAACTTTTATCAGTTATGTTTAGATAAACTTTTCAAAACTAACTCTTTTCATTGATTGTTCACGTTTGGTAAATATTAAGTAAGGCATTTCCATTATTGTTTCACGCCAATATATATATATATATATATATATATAATCATTTTTGGTGAGATTAAATATCTCACAAGAGATTTTCCATTCAGCCATATGTATATTGCACTAACTTTACTGATGAATGTCTACTCAACAATACAGACTCTCTCTATTTAATAGGATTCTATCTAAGTTTATGTATGCATTCATACATGTTTATAGGTGTAACAGTATTTTGTTTATCTTAGCATTTTTATTTATGTTTCCCTTTATTCTCCTTCTTTTGTAGTCAGCATTTTATTTGTTCTTACCTGATAATTGTTAACAATAATCATAATTGTAATAATAATAAAAGCAGCATTTGTTATTGTAACAATTGTTCAGTCATTTATATATTGATTAGTAACGTAAACAATTTACTGTACTGCTCCTATTAATGATAACTAAGTTTTTAGCCTACATATCTAATTGTAGGTTGAATCAAATAGATACTTGTTGTATAGCCAGCCAGCCAACCAGTCGTGTATGTTGTATTCATATACTTGGCCAATATATGTATATCGATTTTTTTCGGTTTGAATAAGTTCAGATAAGTGTATATTGACGTTCACGTTTATACAAGTTCACGAGAAATTTTGATTATTATATGCAAAAACATACAACTAAATGAAACCTGTGTAAATTAATCTAATTATGTAAGTTGAAATGATAAATAGAAGAGATTTGATACAATACTCTTACTAATATACATTAATTCACTATATCAATTAAACTATCCTGTTCTAAATATGTATATTCGGCAAGTACTACTGACAAGATTTTGTAAGTAAGGTATTGCGTGTGATGTATAATGCAAGGATATTGAATAACGCTGAGATGGATTAAGTGACGAAAAAGCAAAATGATTTTTGTGAAACAACATAGAAAACATGAAAGGAAGACAAAAGAAGCACAATAAAGACAATACATGCAAATGCAGTTCTAAATGTAAGGTATGTGAGCAAAGTTAATCATAGCCAAAACTCCAGTGACCTTGAACAACCAATCGGAATTTAGATGCAAAAAACTGGCGCATTCGTTAAAAAACGAAACAAACATGATAATAAACTGGGTAGTGATCTATAGTGTGCTGTAGAAACGCCTCCCATTTTCTCCAAGGACCAGAGAAACCATGCCATACCCGAGACATGTCTTTATCGATGTGGCCAAAAGTCACGGTACTTTCCGATCATCCCATCCTATGTCAGTAAAAATAGGATTGGTGAAATGTTTAAGTGACAGAGCACAAAAACTAAGTAGTACCAAGGAAAATCTAAGACAAGAAGTGATACACATAAAAGAAGCCTTGAAACTTAATAATTATCCGGATAAATTAGTCAGGAAATATGTAAGGAAATGTAAAAATAAAATAAATAATAATGGTAGCGATAGTGATAATAATAATAATATTAATCACGACACCAACAATAAGGAATCTAAATCATCAGTAGTAATTCCATACAAGGAAGGAACCTCGGAAGCCTTACGCAGAATTCTTAACAAGGCAGGAACAAAAGTGGTTAGCATTCAAACCACCCACAAACTCAATTAGAAGCAAGCTTTGTCGGTTAGAGGGTCAGTCCTGTGGAGCCAATTAAACAAAACAATTTAGTTTATCTAATACTCTGCTGGAATGATTTTCAGGTCAGATACATTTTTTTTTATTTACAGCTTGATTCCACACTGTATTTTTGGCACAAGTGTGGAATTTTCAGCATGGATATCGGTAGCTCAAATTTCGCAGGCCGACCATAGATACTAGGTATGCGTCGGCAGGCGATCGAACCTCGGACCATGTGCATGGTCGGAGAGAGTCCTAACCACTGTGCCACCGACGCACACTAGTAGAACAGAGGCAGTCAAACTAGCTGAACATAAAAACCTAGCAAAATCTAGATTGGCTGACCCAACCAAGATAAGAAATCTAGGGAATAGTTCAGCTGTAGCACTCACTACACGCAGTTACACACAACCATACAATAGGAAGGGATAGGATGACAGTTTTAAAATATAATGTCACAGGGTGGAGGGAGAGATTGATAAGAGAAGCTTTGTTTATCGAATTAACTGCAAATCAACACGTGCAACAGGAATGATTCGACACCTGTCCCAGATATCTGGAAAATTCTACTACCCCTACGACAAATATGAGAAAACTATAAAACTGAAGTTTCAAAGTCGTGTGGTTATAATTGATATGGTTATGAATAATAAATTTTGTTCGAAACGTCATCCAGTAAATAATACTGTTTCACTGTGTGATATATCTAATAAACAAACTAATATCGAGAAAAGAGTACCTAAAGAATAAGTAAAATACTGCACTTACCCTCATGAACAGATTTTTTCTTATAACAGGAATTACATCTATAGCAGTATTTATTTCCAACACAGTTGCATTGCTTTAGCATCATAGTATTTGCACAAACACAACCCTTAGTCTCTCCAATTAATCCATTATTAATACAGCTGTTAAACACTCGATCTTTGTAGAACTCACTAACCTAATCTATAAATGCTCGCATGATTTCTGTTTGAAATGACCTTCGGAGGCGTCCGATTAATCTGATTGTTCCTTCAAGGTTAAACTTGAGAGACCTTGGCTGTTGCTATAATATTTTAACCCCAACGGCATATATATTTTGTTATATGTGCACATCAATTTGCCAGTAAACAATTTCAATATCGGATACTATCGTGTTCTGCTGTTACATGTACAGAGTCTTAGGTTCGGGATTTTCGTTTTAATTTTTTTATAAAATTACTTTACTGAATAATTTTGTTCATTTGTCTGAACTGACTTACGTAAAACAGATTTTTCATATGCCAAGCTATAAGCTAAACATATAATTGAATGAGCGCTGATGTTGCTACCCAGTTCCCCAGGCTGAATTAGATGGAGCAAGGCTCAAACTAGGGGTCTTATTGGTAGTAAATCGAATTCTTAAGCAGGCAATCAAGCCAAATCTCCATTTGAATAGCTGTAGACATTTGTTAAGTAGGTGTAGAGTTCAGTTTAACTGCTTCATATTACTCTTCATGAAGATTTATTTGTAATTTAAGGAAAATAGCGGATTCGAGCTATAGACCCGATTTTAAAGCAATTATATCAGCTGTTTGAGCCACTGAAGCTATAAGGAAGCAACTGTTTTGATGATTATATGTTTTTTTTCAATTTACCCAAATGGTTTGCCAGAATTCGCGTGTCGTTTGAAGTGATTTGACTGCCTGAGTTGATTCAAACCAGGTACACTACTGATGAGCTCGATCCCAAAAGAGCGTAATAACGGCCTTGTGTTTAGACCACTTCTATCTGACTAGCAAACACTATTGATTAATGTGGGTGGTATCAGTCAATCAGTGGCATATATCATCGTGTACATGAAATAATTGAATTTGTCGAATGAGAGATCTATTATGTGTTATTAACAGTCAACATATTTATTCTTTCTCTTTAGTTATGATAATAGTTAAACTTACTATTTGTCTTTAAGAATGAATCTGTTCACTGCTATCAGTCTATAGTGTGAAAAGGTGTACTCATGTTTAAGAACCTGAGAGAGGAAAATTCTCTCGTGATAACCATAGAGAAACTAACATGAACAACATATCCTTTGAAATTCTAATGCCCATAATCATAGGATGTTTAAATGAACTATAGAGGCAACAAATCCTAAAAGGTGTAAATAGCTTGGTTGAAGACTGAAAGACAGATGTATTGAATAGTTAGTTGGTGAATTTATACAATGAAGATCGACACTGCTCCCGCATTATCTTGTTTCGTCTCCCCTCATTTTTTGTCTGGTGACATCTTTGGTTGAGTCATTTTCGCTTTTCTTTTCTTCTCACTTTAAACCTGTTTCATGTGCAGACATGTGATCTGATAGATTAGGTCATTATGCGTTAATCTCAAAACTCTGTGTTAATAATATCTTTTTCTAGCCGCTTACGACTACCCTTTTATTTCAGTTGCATATCAAACAGTATTGTAAAAGACTTTGTTTGATGTTTCATTTGCCGAGAAACTGTTTGCTTAACTCGAAAAGCTTTACAATATAGCTAAATCTTCCTAAACACCCGGGTAGTTAAAGGAATTAGGTGTTTAATTAAACGTATTCATCGGCATTCTGTTATAAACTTATCTCATATACCGCGATTTAAAGTAACTAAAACTGGTAATATTTGACTTTAATTTCATTATAGATGTACGAATGGAGGTGACCCTGGCTAACTTTGCTGACTTACATATTCGCTTGTTACCAGGGTAAATTCTTGTCGGTTCAGAGCACTCAGACGACATACCCCTTCCTGGTGAGGACGCTTATAAAATACAGGGTCTTCTTAACACCTTGAGAAGAAATCTTGTTATACTTAGCATGCTATTCACTTCCGTCAAATGTAAAATGATGCTGCAGGAGCGGTCTGCTTGACGGTTGGTTTGATCCATGTAAGAGGGTGTAGACTGCGTGGTTGGGATAATCGAGACGTTAAGAACCAATGGTTGGAGACTGTCGATGGAATGGCTCAAAATGACTTTCTGATGGATTCCCTCTCTATCATCTACCAGATTCGTTAAATACTCATTATTCCTCATCTAATTATTCTTTACCCTGTAAATTACTGTTTATATGTTTTTTCTTTGTATTTGTTTTTGGTTTCTTCGTCTATGCATATTTTTATGAAGTGGATAACTTGAACTATTGCACTTTTGTACTGACTCCTGCGTTTCAATTTCATTCATTCAGTTCATTTGGAATTTTGAATATTTAAAATGACATATAAATTATTACCGTATGACCTTGCTGTTCTTGACAGGAGTGTGTTACAGATAATTTAAGGGGATTATGAGTTGAGTATAGGCGTAAGCACGTCTATTGCACAGGCTAATGAAATGTTCACTTTAGTTATTCTAGTTTTGGCTATCAGTTGTACACCAGTGCTGTTGTATGACTGCATCTTAGATCCTTAATCTAACAAATTAAACACTGATTTAACGGATTCACAGTTAGCTGAGAGTTAGCCTATCCGTAACTACTTCGGTTCTTGAATTTTATTTTTTTAAAGAGATAAATATTGCTTAATGAGAATCACCCTTGAAAACGGTGTGCTATGTGAAACTGACAAGAATTTATAAGTAGTATATCGTGTGTGGTGTTTTTCTGAAAGAATCTTCAATACCAAAGTGAGGGATCAAGCGGTGAAGAGCAGAAATGAAGACCCTTGTGAAACTATACAAAATACATGAAGGATGACAAAAGAAGGGGAATATGAAGAATTTGTGCAAATGGAAATTCCAATGTAAGGTTTATATATTTCGCTGTCACTGATTATTTTTAAATCTCACATGTATCTTTAAAGCAACATGCGTAAAGTTTTTTACAGACTGTAGATCTGAACTGTCAACGAAAAACATTGGCACAAAGTTGCATAAGTGCTATTTTCACCCTCTAGAATAGCAGATATTAAAGAATAAGAAGCTAATGTAATGCAATAAGGGCAGACGAAAATGTATTAGACAAGAACAGTCGGATGAAGATTAATGAGGTGTTTAAGAATCTGTGTGATGACAAGGAGTACATATATCTACGTCATTGTGAACGATTTTGAATCACGTCAATCATTTTCTGTGCGATGTCGATCCGTGACAAAGATTACCAGAAAACCAATTGACAAATTCATTGATCAAACAGCAATCTGATACTTATTAGTGACGTAAATTTCTCAATTTCCTTGTAAGCATCAGTTGTCGTTGAAATTCACCAAGTTGGATATAGTAATATCTACTCATGAATGACAATTAGTGATGGTTATCCTGTATCACAAGTTGTCGAATGTAGCCGTTCGTAGATCACTGGTCTCCGACTGAGTGTATGATTAACAACTTGCTTTCTAAACATCATTATCTTGGCTGACTACGAATTCATAGATGCGTATTGCTGGCCAGAAGGAATTAGTAACAAGTAACTCTGGGAGCAAACCAACCAAGAAACTATTACTTAACAAATATGTGGAAGAAAATGGAGAAGGATCGGACACACGCTGAGGAGAATGTCGAATCACGTCACGCGCCAGGCCGTGGAATGGAACCCAAGTGGGTATTGATGAGCTGGGTGTCCGAGGGTGACATGTAGGCGACTATGTGAGGGGGAGGTGAGAGCCTATGGGCAATCATGTGACCAGCTAGGCAGGACTGTAGAGAACATGACAAAGTGGAGATGTGCTGTTGAAGCCCTATGTTCCACTTGGAACCCAAGGGAGTAATAGGTAAATGTTGCTGAAAAATGTCACGTGGAGTATCTATCACTCTCCAGTGACTCTTGGTTTTCAGCAGTTCTCTATCAGGTATCCTTTCTACATGAATTGGTGATTAAATCAGTTGAATATTTACAAATCCAACAAGTGAATAGGAAAGAATATGCCGGTCACGTTACGTTACAATGGATAAAGCAGTAGCTTCATATCTGTCAACATGAAACATACTGTGTGTTTACTAATCTTTCTGCTGTTCTTGAATCAGATTTTGTCCTGTGGAAAATTATAGTTAGCAGTCATGTTATCTGAGCTATGGCTGTTCCGCCTAGTGTTCAGTAATTACTGAGTCAAAAATCCCTGTAACCATTAAACTTATAGTTAAACCTTTCATCACTTATTCAATACGGTTTATTAGCATAATTATTATCATGCTATTCGGAGATGCACATGATAGAACTGACCTCACTATGAAACATGAAAGTGGTGGAACTTTTCATTTCCTTGACACTTCTGTGGAGCGCCCAAATGATGGTAGTCTCCGGAGATTAATTCATCGAAAGCCTACACAGAGTGGATAATATTTAAATTTCAGTAGTTTTTGTGCAAATAGCTACAAACAAGCATATATATATATATATATATATATATATATATATATATATATATATATATATATATATATATATATATGGTAAAAGTTGCACTGTGAGAACAGAAAGAAGGGCATACCTTCGATTTTCCGAACACTTACCAGTCACCTTCAATATTGCTATTGATACGGGTCGTGAGGTGGACACCATGAGATCCTTTAAAATCATCAACTGACAAAATAGTTCAATTTTCCTCAAGTATGTCAAAGTAATCGCTAACAAATGCCTGAAACTTGATTTATGTGTTCAGAAAGAAACAGTTATCGGTCTTTCCTTGCTCTGGTGGTAGTAACTGGATGTGTTCACTCGCTTTCTTTTATTTGATTAAGTAATCATTGGCTCTGGCCTCTCCCCCCTCACTATAATGTGATATTACTTGTCTTTTTTTAATGATTCCAGCTGAACTCATTGCATTGCTACTCAACCTATTATTTACTTATCATCCTACCCACCACCTGTCCTTATTACTTAACTCTCTTACCGTTGTATTCAAGCCTTTATTTTTGTTTAAACTTGAACTTTCTGGGTAAAAGCTATAAAAGTGTAATTTCTGAGCACTGTTTATCAAGTTTAGAGTCTCCTGCTATCTGACATCATGTCACATTTCCAAGTTCATTAAAACTGTTCCGTACCAAAACTTAGTAGTTTATTCAGGCTATAGTGAGCTGATGAGAAGTCAAAGTAATGAACGATGATACCATGTTATTCTTTATATTCATAAAGGGGAACAAGTGTATAAAGTATGGTGAACCGACAGTATCAAGACCGTGAGTGCAATACATAAGACGATTGTTACCTTCCGCGTATTTATTTATTTAATTAATTTATTTATTTATTTTCACTTCAGTGATCTCATTGAAGTAATTATCACATGAAAAAATAAACAACTAAGAATAGTTGAGGAAAACAACAAAGTGTCTTTTATAATGATTAACCAATCAAAAGTGAAATCGAATGAAGTTATAAAAAATAATGATATGGATTCTGAGTTAAAACGAATTCTTTCTTCTTATCTTTTGTTTATATGGAGAATAATATTCAAAATTCAATCTTATCTTTGTTTGCTGTTCATTACTCCTGCTTTTCTGGGGTTACTACTTGTAAATCAATGTATTTGTGTGTGTGTGTGATGTATGTATGTATGTATGTATGTATGCGTATTTGCGTCACACATGAGGGACTGACAAAATTGTTGATTGCAGAAAATTTGAATACACAGCTAAATACTACTTATATACATAGTGTTGATTAAAGATTGAGAAGGATGTGACTTGTAATATATACATATGAACTATGTTGAAGACAAAATGGCTTACTTGACTGTCTATTCATTATGAAGGAGTGAGAATAGCTTGACTACAGTGTCCTAGGCAACCCTAATAATACAAGCAAACATGAGTATGTTCGTATTGTCGTCCATTTTTGACCAAAAATAATAATGTCCATGCTATCGATTGGAAATTTCAATTAATAATTTATTCACATGAATAACTTTCAATTTTACAGACAAGTAAACATGAAAATTAATTGAATATTGATGATGATGAAAGAGAAAAACAGGATAGCGTCGATGAAGTCATCAATATGCTCTATTTCCCGATGATGTAATATACATATATTCTATTGTAAAATGTGTGTAATGAAAAACACTGTTGTAGTTAGGGTTAATTTAATTATCTTACATTAGTAGAGTTTAGCAAAACATGATGGACAATGTTATTGAATTATCTACATGGAGTTTTTGTTTTTATGTTGTTTGGAAACAGAGATAGCTATTCATTTCTCTTCAAATTTTTAACAGGTTTATTAATTATTGAATATGATGACAATGAGGATATGGAGATGACAATTGCCTTCATCATCATTTATGGAATCCAGGATACACATATTCTGTCCTGCTCATCTGGGTGTACCTGCGTTACACAGCAGGTGATGATGTTCCTATTGAGGAGCTAACCTTGTACCCATTGTTGCAAAATGGAAAGCATTATTCACTAGGCCTCTAGAGCTACGATATCCACCGCTTGTGGGATGGTTAGAACATTATGATCATTGTGATATGCAGGTACATCTAGCTGACGAATCCTAAATAGATAGAAGTAGTCATCATGAATTCCACTGCTAGTCACCATCAATCAACCAAAATAACATCTTGTTAATCCTCAGACATAATCTAAGCCGCTGTACCACGAGCCGATATGTCTACAGGGGCTAAGCACTTCGACGCAACATAATCAGTTTACAAATAGGAATATTCTGTGTTGAAGCGTTAAGATATCTTACTTAGAGTACTGTGATAAACAGATGTGAATTACCCGGTTCTACCTTTCTCTGGACAATATGAACATCACAGTTCAGTGCTACTGTACTAGAAATCGTTGTGTTTACAAAGGATTTCACAATTGTCATGAGTGAATTACGTAAAAAATATAAACAAGAAAGGCAACTAGAAAGTTTTCTATCTAAGTTAAGTTTGGTGCTTCAGAACTGACTGCAATTCTCAAAGATCAGGACACCAAACCAAGAACCCACCACTTATTTTCGGGGTATAAGTTATAAAACTAGACAGACAAGTGATTCACAAGATAAAATGTAATCAGTGTAAAGGGGTGAATAAAACTCCAGTTGCTGCCTTATGTATCTGTATCACATAGTTGTGAATACATACATTTTAATTCCCATCCTTTCAGTTCTATGATTCTATACACCCGTGTGCTCCTTTCTAATTTTTACTGTATTTTGAATGACAGTCACGAAGTTTTGAGGATTATCTCAATCCAAGTGTCATCAACTTTCCTGTTTTATCTAAAGGTTATTTTTAAGTGTTAGTTTGTAGACATTCGATTGGTTTCAGAAATGATCACAGACTGATATCAGTTGGAGAACCGTTAA